AGAAACTATTTTTAATTTTACAAAAACACAGTAAGAAACTATTCCCAAATTACATAACTCAATAATAAATTTTATTATGTTGATGCTTCTTTCAATTATTTTTTCATCCTAATTATATGGAATCAACTGAAATATTTAAAAAATATGCAATCATTTGAATCGTAAAATTGAGAATTATTTAAATGGTATTTTAAAAAAGAATATTTTCAATTGTTCAAGGGAAAATGCTAGCTTCTTTTGCAAAGTTTTGATTCAAACGTATTGATTCTTATTTTTGTAAGCGTAAGAAAGAATTGAAATTCACTATAACATATTTTGTCAATAAATTGCTAAGCTTTTTTGACTCGAACGCTCGCAAATGCAAAAACTTGTATAAAATAGATAAATAAATAGATAAATAAAAGTTTGATTAAAGCTTATCATATTAATGATTGGTTTATTATTTTCCATATACATTTACTATTTAAAAAACAAGTTTGGAGTGTAACATAATTGTAAGAACTTTTTTGGAACAAAAAGTTCATTTCATTTTTGAGTCTTGTTGCTTAATTTTTTGAAACCCCTTAGTTCATTTTAACCCTACATAACAATTTTACCCCTGTGCATGTTTCATTGAAAATCTGTCTATTATATAACTGAAAAACGACTAAACAAATTAAGAACGCAAAACTAAAAATCGTTTTGTGTTACAATACTTTGTTTAATTTTTCTTTAAATTATGCTAAACTTTAATTTCCTAAAGGACAAATATGTACATACATATATAATAATCTGCTTTTTTTTTCTTTTGCCTTTTGGCCTTAGCTCTCTTAAAAAATTCAATTTTTATATTTTAATATACACGGTGTTTCGTATAAGGTGGCAATTTCCAGCAAAAAATTGTATGGTTGGGGGCTGCAGATATACTCGTTTTCCAGTTACTGCCTCTTGAAAAATGGTTTTATCGCACGTTTTTAAGTACATTCAACACGGTTTACTGGAAAAACTATAAGAGATAGAGAAAAATGTTATATGGGTAAACTTTTAAATCTCTTTGCAGCGCATCAAAAAAAAAAGAATAATAACAAAAATTTTCGAGAAATTTCGAGTTTTGTAAAAAAAAAGTCAAAAAAAAACATTCTGATTGCGACGAGCTGTATGTCGAAAACTTTGACTAAAATCAAATTAATTGTAACACCAAAAATAAAGAACAATCAATCGCCTATAAAACAAGCTTATCATTAGGAGCTATATGTTGTATGGTTCCGAAGTTATTGGCATTTATTTATAACCAGAAAAAGTCCGGTAACTTTGAAATTGATCAAAGAATCATACCTGAAATTAATGAACATTTTTTGTTTAACACATACACTTACATACATATTCGAAAAAAACCACCAATAATTTTATATCCTGATATATTATTTTATATATTTGAATATTATCTCGTATAAAGGAAATGAGATCAAATTAAGGATTATTAAAAGTATGATATATTACATTTTTTACATTTGTTCTATTCTACTATAATTTTCTTTTCTTCTTTTTCTTTACATTTCAATTTTAAAACCACCCAAATAACCAGCAGAAAAAAAAAACAAAGAAACGAAAATAGTCAAAAAGAAAGAAGAAACACAAAAAGAAACATTCAAAAAATAACAAGGATTAAACCTCCCATATAAAATGTTTCAAAATATATTAAAAATCTGAATTTATATGAAATGTTTCCTGTATCCAGTATTTTCGTATATGGAAATTATACATATAACATCATCCACATGCTTACGCATATTTTATAGATCTCTGATTGTATTTTGGAATTTTTTAAGTAAAATTTACATTTTGGAGCATGTATTATTTATAGGAATATTTTTTAATGATGAAATTTAAAATAAAACAATTTAATTAAAGAATTAAAAATAAATTTTAAGTGAATTTTATTGTACCTTACTAAAGTTTAATAAAATACTATAATGCATGCGATGGATAAAAATGAAATTGTAAAAAGAGACAAATACAAGGAAAATTTTCGGCTACTTTATTGTCTAAGTGTTTGACACTTAGCGGTAATCAGTTTTGCATAAAGCTCTGTATTAATCGAATTTTAGCATTTTTTCGTAATTAAAAATTATATCGAAAAAGCTTAACAAGTCAGGTTTCATGACGAAATGAGATTTATGCTCCAGCCATAAGAGAGAAAAGCACAGTTTCAAATGCATGCTCAATTTTCTTACCTTTTCAAGAAGATTAATTATCGCCTTTGAAGAAATTAAAAGGAAATGGCTTTTTATATAGATAATTTATAAAAGTAATTTAATTTAATTTTTGAAATTTTATCGGTGAAGACCTATCATTTTAGCCCTGTCTTTGCCAATGCTAAAAGAAAATTTTATATTTTACTAAAGGTTATAAGACTCTTTCATTGCTTGCTCTTTCAAAGCTTAATTTGGACTAACAAATTTTATAATTCATAGTGTATATCAATTATTCAATCGATGAAATTATACTAAGACTAATATTTGATTTTTAAATTTAATGACTAAGTTTTATTCTTCTTTAAATGAATTAACATATATATATAAAAAAGCTTTTAACAAATTTTACAATTATGACCACGTCCCCAATTTTGCATTTCTTAATGCCTATTACACTTTAGTATTTTATAACCTTCTTATCTTCTTTACATTTTTCTGATATTCGGAAAATGAACAAATTGAAATTAGTTCACAATTAATTAGTAAACAATTTGATTTTATTTTGTATTACATATCATAAAGTATGCTAATTTAACAGTTTTCTTTCACAAAATGTCACAGAAACTATATCATAACAAATTACAACACGCACACATTGGGAAATATTTAAAATTATTTCAAGTGAAATTAAACTCAAATTTTGAATTTAATTTTGTTTTAAAACAAAAAGATAAAATAAAATTTGTAAATTTTAGGTGTTATATATTAAATTATTTAATTTTAAAAATTTAATCAATTAAAAATTATACAATTTTTGTATAAAATATTTTAGTTAAAAGTAAAATAAATATTTACTTTTTAAGTGGAATAATTTAAAAGGGAAATAGAATAAGAATTATATTCATATTAGTGTATAGTGCTATATGCACAAACATACTGAAAATAACTATAATTATAGGAAAAATTTACAGAATTATTTTCAAAAATTTATTATAAGCTCATGAATTTTTATAGAAATTTAATTTAATAGTTATGTAGAAATATTTAATGAAATAAATTTTAAAATTTATTTTTTTTTTATTTTTGTATATACAAGTAATAACAAATATTGTTTCAATATTGAAACACTTAAGTGAAATGAAATGGAAATAAAGTGTTTCTACAGTTTTATCAGTTTATAAAAATATAATTTAAATAAAAATTTAATTTCAAATGAATAAGTATATAAATAAATATATACATATAAGTATACCGTATACTTAATATCATGTTTATGTTACGTATTTCCATACATATGTATGTATATTTAGTACATGAAAAATAAATCTTCAAATAATTTAATATTAAATTTAAACTTAAATTAAATGCAATGAATACATGAAATATTTATTAAAAATAAAATATTAAGCACGACGAATGAAAAACTATATAGGCAACAAATTGTATTGAAAACAAATATTTCAGAAGCAAAAAAATGAAAAATTTAAAAACAAACATGATTTTGATAAATTATATATAAATTTGCAATATACGAAATATATAGAAGATAAATTCAATATTGAGGGTCAAACTTAAAGTATTTTTCTTAAAAATTTCTAAAAATCTAATTTTTCTTTCATTGTGTAAGAGCTGAAACTAAAATCTGCTATGAATTCGAGTATTAAAATAGGTTAATCAATGAAAAATAAAAATTTATGCTAATTCTCAAATTAAGCAAATATTGGAGATATTTTAAATTGGAACGTCAATATCTGAACTTCATTAATCAAGAACTAAATGATTAATTGAGATTATGATTGCAAATAAAAAAATCTGAAGTGGTCAGATGAAATATAAGCGACCGCAATATGTAATACTTACTTCAATGAAAGTTCTACAGAAGATTATGAAAATGCGTTTTAAACACTTCTTTACAACTTTAAGGACACAAGGAAGCTCTTAGTTAACATACCTAGAAAAGTGTAAATTTGGCTTCGTGCCCCTCAGATTCCCTGAAAAATTTACTAGTAACAACCAGAACTTAAATATCAAATTTAATATTTAATATCAAAAATTAAAATCAAATTTTAAATATCAAATTTAATTCAGAACTTAAATATCAAATTCAAATATCGAGAAATGCTATCAATCCGTTCCGTAGATATGGTAAAAAATGTCCAAATAACCAAAATAAATTCACATATGAAATTGCATCAAAATCGGTTCAGCCGAACTTGAGATAGACGATTGCACACACAAACCGACAGACCGATATCTCTCTAAACGTAGTTCATTTACGCTTTCTTACTATGAAGAAGTGCGTTCCCGCTGAAAACTCAATATGCAAAATTGGTTGCTATCACATGACCTACCTATTGTATACACAATACAGCCGGTAAAAAATTATTTGAAATACAAATAATTGATGTAACTAAAAAGATTTATTTCTCCATAAAAAAAATTATTGCGCACGAAAATTCCATCTTGGTTCATACTGGAACAATAGAAAAAATATTATTTTATATGTTAAAATTATAAGATATGCTTAAAAAAATCTGTTGCAATAAAGAATATCTGTCTGCGTTATTTTGTATACAGTCAAAAATTATGCAATATATGAGTTCACCGTATTCAAATAGGCGAAATATGTATCAAATCAGACAATTCTAAGGTAGTCAAGAAAAATCGAATAATTTTAAGGTGATCAAATCGTAACCAGAAGAACAATTCTTGAAAAAATTCACCAAAATTTTGAAAATCCAATGTAACTTTAAATATGCATCTGTTTTTGCCACAGAAGTAAGAAAACTTTAAAAATTTTTTTAAATAATAATTTCTTCTGCTTACATTTTATTCTGCGATTGTTATTATTTGCTGTAATTTCGTAAACTTCCTTATCGGGAATTTCTTCTTTGATAATTGTTTTGCCATCAAGTGCCATCTGTAATATAGATGAAGAAATATAAATAATGATGAAATTAAATTTTTCTTCATTAAAAATTAAAACAAAAAAATTATTTTAAGAATCTTTAAAATTTTCAATGTTAAATTTTTGGTGTGAATTTTTTAAAATTCTATACTCATCTCATTAAAATTTTTGAGTGCTTACTAAAAATGAATTGAAACGCATACTAAAAATGAAAAGTGAAACGCACAAAAATATTTTGTGGGAGACAACTTTTTTTTTTTTGTAATAAAAATAGCAAAAAGGAAAATGTTATTTTTTGCCATTCAATTTCAAATTTTTCAAAATACAATTGATTAAATAACATTTTTGTTAGCATTTCTTTATTGTTCATTTTAAATGTAAATAAAATACTGTCATTTTCAGAAGAACAACGACAGCATTGCAGCACAAGTTTGTACACTAAAATTTGAATGGAAGATAATAACATTTTGTTATTATGCTATTGTTTGGTTCATTATTATATTGTTTCTGTTACTGCTGCTGTTGCTATTTGACTATTGTTTTTGGCGCTTTACTCCATATTATAAGTATAGGTTCTTGTTGCTATTGCTGTTGCAATTCAATTAAAAGGTCATTTAAAAAGTAATACATAATTCAAAATAATAATGGTGGTGCCTAGTGTATCTTTATCTGAAATAATACGGACTTTTATTTTTTGTTAAATATTGGCCCTGTTTCTTACTTTTATGTAGTTTTTTTATTGTATCTAATAATATCTGTATATGTGTTTAAAGTTAGGTTAATTAATTTGTTTGTGATCTATGAGAAATCATTAAGAATCAAGCAGTTAAATTTAGTTATTAAGATCGCCTTGTGTCAAACACATTTTTCTTTATTTTTTTTCATCCTTTCTTACATATTACGTATATGTATGCATGCTTTCCGTTTTGTAAATTGAAAAATATACTTATAAATAAAAGATTTCCCTTTATTTCCTTCAAGTAAATTTAATTAACGATTTCCAACCTTGCGATATAGCTTGGTATGAAAAGTCAAATACAATTCAATACTTTCTTGAAATTATGGTTTTTTAAATGCTTTAATAGAACTAATTGCATATTTAAAATTTTTTTTGTGTAGTCTGGTGTAGGACAAATAAAACAATGTTCTTTAACTTTTCATCAACGTTTAACCAAAAATTTTTAAAAATTTTATTAATTTCATTTATTAGAGCTATTGAGTTAGTAAATTATGTTAAAATCAAATTAAAATTTGTTCAATAACTTAATGTAAATATATATGTACATATAAGAAATGTACTAAATATTGTAAAAACATTATTATCATATAAAATTGTTATTTTAGCCCTGATGAAGATTTAAAATTAAATCGAAACGTTGGTAAAAAGTTAAAGAACCTACACCGGACTACACAAAAAAAAATTTAAATACTAAAAATAAAGGACGTTACAATTAGAACTTCTAATTGCATATATTTAGGATGATTACATGTATTTATAATAGATTATGTTTATTTAAAGTTTCTTAGTGTAGAAGAAATATGTTTACAAAATTTGTCCTTCTCTACAAATGATGGCAAAAAAGGCCCAACAAATTCCTGGTCAATTCAAATTAAACTTAATATAATAATTAATGACTAATTTAGAGAGTTAATACAAGAAAACTTTTACTACATTTCCGAATCTGTGATTGCTTATTACTTTGAAACAATAAACTGTCAAAAAATTTTATTTTCCTGACTTTGCTGACTTTAAATTTAAAGTTAAATATACACATATAAACCAACTGTTTAACTTCAAAAAACCACTTTTTATAATTAGTAGTTATCCTCATTTTTCCTTTTATGTAATAATTATACTAACTTTTATACATATAATAAATATACTTTTTCTAAAATTTTGCTATTGAATTTCACCATTAAAGCTATAAAATTCTACTTTGTGACTAATAATTAATATAGTCCGATTACGTATTATTAATAATCTTGAAAAAAATCTATTGAATGATGAAACTGGAAAAAATTTATTCCCTTAGTTAATGGCTTATACAAAAATAAAAATTAATCAATATTATAATTTACATTTTGATAATTCCCAAAATTACGGTATTATTGAAGAATTTATTAAAAAACTCATTTAAAATTGTTGTTAAAATTATTGAATGTTTAGGTCGTTTCTTTATATTTATTGTTTATTTAACTTTACCGAATTCGTTAAATATTTTTGACTGTTCTACAACCCTGTTTAATTAACATTAAACAAACATTAAAATTAAGTATGCATGTACGAAGAAAAATAGAAAAATTGTTTCTTACGATTTTCGCCACTTTTTAAAGTTTTTTAAAAATATTATTGTTATCAATATCAGTCATATCATAGCAAAAAAAAGGCAAAAAAAAATAAGTTTTGCTCTTTTTTTTGCCATTTGATTAAACACAGATGTTTGCCATATGTTTATTGATCTTATATACAATTCTTACTGTATGGGCACACACTTTTGTTCTACGTAAATTGAGGAATAATTTTATTTTCTTATTTTGCTTTTCACTTTAGTCATGAGGATGGTTATATTCTCGTTTTCCTTTTATTATTAATTGCCTTGTTTTTTTTTCTTTCTTAGAGTTTTATTTCACGAACTCATTTATTTCAAAATTCATTCAATACCTGAGCTACTTACTATACACTTAAGAATAATTAAAACTGTATGTACGTGTAGTTTGTACTGAGCTATAAGTAATATATTACAATAAGCTATGATTATAAGAAAAAGGGAGAAAAAAATAAAATTATGAGCGATTTGTAATAGTTTTCACTTTTTTCTAGCCTCTATCAGAAAATAATTGTTTTTTTTTTTTTTGTGAGAGCGTTTTGGAACAATCATTCCGTTATTTGTATATTAAAAATATGATTTTTAATATATAAATAACGGAATGAAACATTTTGTACGTACATAAGTTCATATACATGTGTCTTTACACATGTGTATGTATCTTGTTAAGTTGTCGGGCGTCGGTTTCTTGTGAGAATTTTAAAATAGCGCAAAATAGTTTTTATTTTCTTTTGAACTTTTTGTTTTTTACGTGTATTTATTATGTGTTATTCTTTTTTAATTATTTATTCTTTATTTTTTTTTATTTTTTGGAATTTTTGGCGGTAATTTTTTTGAAAATCGTGTTTGCCTTTTCAATGTTGATTTTCATATTAGATACTACAATTAAACAACCAAAAACGTTTCAGTCGGTATAAACCGATTGGATTACACCTTGCACCTTTCATTGTTGTACAGCAATTATTCAAACCTTTAAAACCAATTTATACAAATTTCACGAATATATTTGACCTACAATTGGACTACCAAGTTTTATTAATCTCACTTTATTATTTTTCCAAATATTTCAAATTACTTTTTAGACTTCTATGGCAGCTACCCGAACCTGACAAGCAATTCAACCAAAACTTAAAGAATATGTCTGACCTATAATTGGGCATACGACTGCCAAGTTTCGTAAATCTGACTTTATTATTTTGTATTTAAAATTAGCTTTTGAAGCTGTATATATATATATATATATCCATACCGCAAATGACTACTTCAAGTGATTAAAAACTCCATAACAAAGTTAATACATCCTTCACCAAGGTGCAGGGTATAAAAATATAGACTTGTGTTCGACACGAGTATTTTAATACACTTTATAAATTATAAATTTTGTTAAGTTTTACTATGGTTTTTCTGCCTTTTTTATACCCTGCACTTCGTGAAGGTTATATTAACTTTGGTATGGAGTTTGTAACTACTTGAAGGAGTCATCTGCGATATGGACATATATATATATTCTTGCTCAGCGTAAAATTCTGCGCCGATTTAGACATTTCCGTCCGTCCGATCGCACAATAACTCAAAAACGAATAATGCAATCGACACCAAACTTTCACAAGTTTTTTCCTTTGTGCCAAGGACGAACCCTATTGTTATTGGACTAATTCGGACAACGGGTTCGGGTAGCTGCCATACAATTCAAAGAGTTTATTTTAAATATTTCAAAAACTAATAAAGCTATAAATATAAAATTTGATATACAAGTGTACAATTATATTATACATATGTTCTAAAAATTACAATGGGATAGCTGCACCGGTTCGGGTGGCTACCATACAACTCCAACAGCAAATTTTTTATATTCGGCAAAATAATAAAGTCAGATTCATGAAACTTAGCAGTTGTGTGTCCAATTATAGATCAGATATATTTGTGAAGTTTTAGTGGAATTGCTTGACAGGTTCGGGTACTTGCCAAACAACTCCAAAAGCTTATTTTAAATATTTGGAAAAATAATAAAGTCAGATTCATGAAACTTGGCAGATGGATGTCCAATTATTCATCAGACATATCCGTGAAGTTTCTATAGAATGATTTCACAGGTTCGAGTTATTGCTACACAATAACGAAAGGTGCAGGGTATAATTCAATCGGTTTATACCGACTGAAACGTTTTTACTTGTTCTATTTTAAAGATGTTTTGAATAGAACAATAACTAGTAAATTGAAATTATACATACTTTGAAGTAAATACAGGTGTACTTAACTAAAAACTAATTAAATTAGGTTATTTATGTTATTGTGGTTAGATAAATTTTGAAATATTAAATAATTATATTTGTAGAATATACATACATACATATTATTAATTAATATATAATATGAGTTTCAGGTATATTCTTATATACAATGTATGTATATGTAGATACACATATTTGAATATATGTATATGAACATATGTACATATGTATTAACTGATATTATTCATAAATTGTTAAAATTAAAAGTTTTGAGAATTTTAAAAGTTAAGTTTTAAAGACACAGTTTTTTCTAAATCGAATGAAAATATGGCCGTTTTCAGCATCTTTCCCAAATGTTTTTGAAAAAAGTTCTTATTAATTTCACTCTTCTTCCGTGGACTTGTTTAATAAACTTCTACACCCTTAAAAATTTAAATCTAAAATTTCACATGTA